AAGACCATCGAGGCAACCATAGAAATCGGAAATATTCACAGTAACCGAAGTTTTACACAGTTGAGTCCGGACAGTGTATAAAAAATATTCCACTTGCAGGTCCCCAATTTAAAACACCTCTTGTCCTAACGAAAAAATTCCATTCATTTAGCTTAGTAGTAGCCGGATACGGTATTTGCCGCAGTAATGATATGGCTCTCTCAGTAAAAAAATCACATCTGCATAGCTTAGTAGTAGCCGGATACGGTATTTGCCGCAGTAATGATATGGCTCTCTCAGTAAAAAAATCCACATCTGCAGTCTAGCAAGGGATTGTGATCCTGTTGCGCAAAGCAAACTGAGCAACACGATCCGGATGCGTGCAAAATACCATGAAGATTTAAACAAACAAGTTAGCAAAAATCGTGATTTGATCGTCAGCGTAGCCCCCCATAAAGATCAAGCAGTGCGAAAAGTCTAATTTTTGTTAGGCATGAGTTGGCAGTTTCGAGGAAACAGGGACATTTTTAACTTCTGGTGAGCGTGTAGACAAAGGCTTGGAGCACTTGAACTTTAGTAAGGCTATTACCGTTCGGCCGATGAAAATCGTGAATAATTTTCACACAATTTGATCAAGTTTCAGAACTTATATGCGACGAAAGCCATAGGGTATGAGAGATCAGTAATTTTGTGCAGATAGACGGCCGATCGTAGGTGATAACTTATAGATAAATCACAGAAAATGCCCTTTGAGGGGTCCATAAGGTGGTGTGAAACTATGAGGTAACAGTCGGCTAATTCCCGCTAGGTTTGGCGTGAGTTACTTCAACGTCGTTGTAAACGTATGTGTAGAATTTCTTACAGTGCACCAGAAAACACCACCGAAAAGCACTAGCAGAACAAAACCTTGTGTTTTCAGTAGCGAGCATAAGCGAAATTCAAAGTGAATCTTAAATGCAGTCTCTAAACAACACTAGCTACTTTGTGCCGCCACTTATAGAGGAAAGGACATCAGTCGTGAGCGCAAGAAATTCACAGTGGTTCACAGAATAATCGTTCATGTTATTGCGCCTTCTTGGTGCATAGCATTCATCAACCCAAAGAAGGCACAGGGGCACTGCCAGGTTTTCAAGGCCTATGCGAGAGTAGTCAAGAAGTCAGGGTCGGTTTCTAACCGCAGACTTCCGGGTCAGAATTCACACATTAACCACTAGGTTATCTCGAGCCGGCTATATCTAGTACATTTAGAACTGCCATGCATTGTTGGAAAACACAACAAGAATATACCGGTTAATCGGAATGCTGGTGGTCAACAGACTGTTAGTCCAACACACTTAATAAAAACTGCTTCTCCGACAGCTTGCTCAACGTATTCTCCGAAATTTATCAAACTTTCCAGGTACGGGAACCACAGAAAACCTAGCCGGAGGGTTCGAATTTTCTAGCCTGAAGGTAAAAACACGAAGGTGAGTACTAAACCTCTTTACCAAGAGCGAAACTCTGGTTTATCCACCAGAACCTGTGGAAGCATATAGGAAGGCCACATGACCCTAAGGAAGCGGGTTAAATGCATTGCTTCAACACACAGAAATCCTGGGAAAAGGCGGAGTATCTTTATTGGCCACGTCACCTACGTTCAAGAGGTTCTTTTCACCGGCATGCAACTCACCACAACATTGATGCTGAACAGTGCTATATGTGAAAGGTCGCTAGAAATCTGCTAAACTATCCACAATGTATGATATACGAAGATAAGGCAACCGAAGTACTCTTTCTATACCACGAACCGTTTTGACAGTGGGATGATAGTGCGCCTCCACATTGTGCCGCCACTTATAGAGGAAAGGACATCAGTCGTGAGCGCAAGAAATTCACAGTGGTTCACAGAATAATCGTTCATGTTATTGCGCCTTCTTGGTGCATAGCATTCATCAACCCAAAGAAGGCACAGGGGCACTGCCAGGTTTTCAAGGCCTATGCGAGAGTAGTCAAGAAGTCAGGGTCGGTTTCTAACCGCAGACTTCCGGGTCAGAATTCACACATTAACCACTAGGTTATCTCGAGCCGGCTATATCTAGTACATTTAGAACTGCCATGCATTGTTGGAAAACACAACAAGAATATACCGGTTAATCGGAATGCTGGTGGTCAACAGACTGTTAGTCCAACACACTTAATAAAAACTGCTTCTCCGACAGCTTGCTCAACGTATTCTCCGAAATTTATCAAACTTTCCAGGTACGGGAACCACAGAAAACCTAGCCGGAGGGTTCGAATTTTCTAGCCTGAAGGTAAAAACACGAAGGTGAGTACTAAACCTCTTTACCAAGAGCGAAACTCTGGTTTATCCACCAGAACCTGTGGAAGCATATAGGAAGGCCACATGACCCTAAGGAAGCGGGTTAAATGCATTGCTTCAACACACAGAAATCCTGGGAAAAGGCGGAGTATCTTTATTGGCCACGTCACCTACGTTCAAGAGGTTCTTTTCACCGGCATGCAACTCACCACAACATTGATGCTGAACAGTGCTATATGTGAAAGGTCGCTAGAAATCTGCTAAACTATCCACAATGTATGATATACGAAGATAAGGCAACCGAAGTACTCTTTCTATACCACGAACCGTTTTGACAGTGGGATGATAGTGCGCCTCCACAGTGTTCCAATTTCCGATCGTATGCTCCCCGCAAACTAATTTGGCCAACTTTGCCTTCTTATTCGTATTTAACGATTCGAGGAAGGGGAAGCCTCTGGAAACAATTCTGTGAGTAGTGTTCACATACTCTGTTTGCTAGATTCATGGGATATATGAAGCATCAGCTATTAATCTAGCACACTATAATGACATAAGAGTCCGTTTTTAGTGTTTTATACTCGTTTCCTAAGCAGTGCCTGCATTCGGTTTCTGTCAGTAGACAGAAAATTCACAATTAAATGGTGCGACTGACATTCATCAGAATCTGTTGTTTAAGTGGCACGCTTGCACTTATTCGGTCAACACATCGACACAGAGAGCTATACTCTCAGTAGCGAATCCAGCCAGATCGAGGGTCGGCCAGCATTTGACGCCGGTATATATTACCACTAAAGTAAGACAAAACAAACGTCAACCCAGTGTTTCACAGGCGAGCGGATAATGCTCAGTGATCAGAATATACTGGCCACCACACACGGTTGACAAACCTGGCAAACAAATTGTGTGAACCGTTTTGCGTCTCTCTTAGTTCCCTGAATAAAGCCCTCTCACTATGCCTAGCCACAAAAAGGAAAACAAATAAAATGTTATCTGTAGACTGAGAAATTCAAGAGGCATACTGTAAAACATTTGCCGACGGGTTCCATTGACCGTTGCTCTAAAGGTACATGTTTTATCGTAGGCGTCCGTCTGCACCTGTTATGGAATAAGCGTTATCATGTGCGCTTCAGTTTGCACTTCACTATAGACACTGTCATTGGTATGTTTTAGCGGCATTTTCCGACGTGTTGCCTGTTATTGAACTGGGCCAATGTTTCTTGCTTGAGCAAGTTAAGACAACACTGCAAACGTCACGATTACTCTGTATGAGGAGGTCCACGAGATTCGCTTTGAAAATTTCGTTAGCAAGTCAGAGAATGGCACTGCCGCACGGTATGGCATACGCTTCAGACCTGCAAAGTGTAAGGCTACAAAACAAAACTGGGTGGGATCAAACCCGCACCTCATGCTTGCAGGTGAGCCAATCGACGTGGTAGATAAATTCGTTTACCTGGGCAGCTTTGTTGGTTCTGGTGGACTGGTTGAAGATATTACTTCTTGAATCGGAAAGGTAAGGACAGCTTTTGCCAACATCTGACACTTATGGCGCCGACGTGAGGTGAGCTTGTATATCAAGAGAAGAGCATACACTACGGTGGTGCGATCCATACTGCTTTATGGATGAGAAACGTGGGCTCTACGGGCAGAGGACATAGGAAGATGTCAGTGTTTGATCATCGGTGTCTCCGCAGCATTGGTCAGGTCTGGTGAGAATATTGGATTAGTAATATTGAGGTACGTCAGATGGTCTTAAGAAGAAGGAACTCGCCTGCGATAGAAAAATGGCTTACGCTTCATAGGCTGCGCTGGTTAGGCCATGTACTGCGTATGCCAGAAGACCATCTGCTTCAAAGCTCTTTTCGCCCAGCCCTGTGCTGAGTGGAAGCGACCGAGAGGTGGACAATGCACGACCTGGCAACGAAGTACAAAAGCAATAACCAGTAAACGTAGTCAGGTCGGCAACTACCGCCTTCCTGGTTGAGGACTCCAAGACACAAATCACCAATGGTTATTGACGTTGGAAGAAATGCCCCAATCGCGAAGTTGGTAGCGCTGGACTCCAAGACACAAATCACCAATGGTTAATGATGTTGGCAGAAATTGCTCAATCGCGTAGTCAGTAGCGCTTGTGCATCAAAGCTATCGTTTTCAATGCATAGACACCCGATTTCCGAACAAACTGAACTTGGCTTCGCCTCCAAGGCTTGGTTCTACCTCCCACACTCCCGTTTTCCGGTGATCGAAACTGTGGTGTCTGGGACAAATGTGCCTATGGTACACGGTTTATAGCTGATCAATTGAAACTGAATTGAATGTACAAATTTTCAGACTTACGGTGAGAATGAAAAAGCTATCAAAGTGGTCGGAGATTGAAAGATCATCACTGATTTTATCGTTTATCTGGAATTTTCATCTCAGCTAACTTCATCAGATTCTAACTTCGTTCGCCGCCACAAGTACGGGGAAATTTACTAGGCGCTAGAGGTGCGTTTCTTTCCAACATTCTGTGTTTTTCGACCTTTATCTAACGTAATTGTCACTATCCATTCGACATCGATCAATGGTGCGAAGCAGATCCTATGGCCCTCCACCGACCAGTAACTGATAATGGGATTGTCTAATCTACGTGAAAGCGAACTGTTAAATCACGTTCGGATAGTCTCCTCTCTTATCAGACAGGGCGTGACTAAAATATTATCTTAAAAGATTCGGTTTTAAACCATCGGCGACTTACCACATCACGTCCACTAACGGTGTTTAGGCTCTTCAAAGGTATGACGCTCAAGGAGCTTCGCCTGGCCAGTAGAGTTGGAGGTTTCTTCTGCCAGTTCGAAACTCGTTCCGCTCGCGGAATGTGGCAGGGTAAAAGGACAGGATCTGTCACTAACGTACTAAGTGTGACATTTTGGGGATGAAATTTTGTAACCTCGGGGGTCCGACAGCGCTCGCCTCTAGGCGTGGATCCGCTAGCCCCGAGACTAAATGGTGATACGAGCTTACATCTGGCGGACGACGTCTTGCTGGAGTCCGAAATCAAATTTGTAGATATTGGCGATGGTGAAATAAGCTGTGGGGAGACCTGATGTGAGCCACATATGGATGTGCTTCCTACTGTGGGTGTAGCAAACCGGATACCTGTTACCAGTGGTGGGGAGTGGTCGGAAGATGTCGATCGCAAGGAAGAATCTGTTGCGAAGCTAGGATACGAGAATCCTTTGGGAGATGCGCTCGTGCTTGAAAGCGATGTGGTATGTGGGTCTTTCAGACACATCTGCGAATGATCCAAGAAGAGTGTACTGTTCGCGTGAACATCTTCCGCTAAGGAACGAGGAAGCAAGAAGATATCTAAACCAGCTTCGATCAAAACCGTTGTCAAGGCGGCCAAGCGTTTACACCTTTCCGGGCAGTCCGATGCCACCACCCTTGAAGTCTAAAATGAAAAGCGCGAAGCTTTAATTGGTGTTGATCAACAATGTTTGAAGGCATGCTTGGCGAAAGACTAGATGAAAAGAGAAAAACAAATGAAGTGCGAAAAACGAGCTATATTCCTTGAGGGAAAATTTAGAGATGTGAAGTTTCAGATCAAATAGACCGTTGGATTTATGGTTTAGGGTGAGTCTATCTGATAGCCGACAGGACCTGGTAAGACAAGTGACCCGATACGTAGTCAATCATGATGGAGCAATTGGAAACCACTCGGCAAGGGCCTCTCTGACTATTGAGGGTAGGTTAATATGTTGGTAGTTACCCTGGCCACAAACGAAACATTGCAGTTAGTACCGAAATCTAAGCTGTGCAAATAAGCGTTTTCTTGGTGTTTGCCATTTATCGCTTGCATCTGTTGAACGGTAGAACGCAGTGTACACAATGTACTTCGATGTAGACATTAATATGTGGTGATAAATTTTAACCTGAAATTTCCCAAGCAGACTTGTGTCTCGATGCAGTGCATTACTGAGAATTTGTGTAACACCAGTTGACTTATTTTGGAGACGATCTGGACAGGGTTGCCTCCTTATCGAGAAATCAGTACCTCCTAGGGAGGCACATCACAGGCGTCACGGACATTGCCCTGCTCCTTAAAAATTTGTCTCTATGCTCCATTTAGGCAAATATTTTATTTATATTGAAGACCTAATATTCCAGAGAATACTTTTGGCCAGGTCGAAAATTACAAAGGCTGACAGTCAACCCGGAATTTAGGATGTGCGATCATGATTAATCGCTACCTACATGCCCCCCGACTTATGAGGCGCTGTGCATGGATAAACTTAGATAAACAGAGATAATAAAAAAAGCTCAATACTGCCTAGTGTTCTGCTGTTAGAAGCGAATATAAGGAAAAAACAGGCAAAAGTGATTTCCGACCATCCCTTCTGGAACACCCATATCGAGCTCCATGTGAACCGCGTCCTGTAATTCCACAGACTCAAACCATAGCGCTTAAAATTGAGGCGAATTTGAAAGGAATTCGGTTCTTCGGGTAGGTATAGGTGTTGCATCGCTGAACCGGGTACCTCCCAAACTACTAACAAACTGAACAGTTCATATATAGGAAGTTAACCTCATGAATGTGGTCCGCTAGTGGCCTGTGGGCAAAACCATTCTTTTGAAACTATGGGAGAGCTCATTTTAGGCAAGGGGCTCTCCTTTCTGTATCACGGGTATTCCCTATTGAGGAGTCGCTCGCACCGGCTTTGTGTATGTTGCGACGTTATTTATTCATGTTGCTCATATGGAACCATTTCAGTATAATTCAGTTTATTAGCTATAAAGCATGTGCCATGGGCATATTGGTTCCAGATGCCACAGTTTAGAACCAAGACTTGGGGACGGAGGCATGTTCAGTTTGTTCGGAAATCGGGTCTCTATGCATTGAAAACGATAGTTTTGATGCACACACGCTACTGACTACTGAGCCATTTCTGCCAACATCATTAACCACTGGTGATTTCAGTCTCGGAGTTCCCAACCAGGGAGGCGGTAGGTGCCCACCCGACTACGTTTACTG